GGGGGGGGACTGTGTAAAAACTATCAGATACCCAGGAATGCATGGTGTTGAAACTTCTAAATTGGGGGTCTCGAGTAATAAATTCAGGGCCTCAAAGCCAGACTTCTTGGGTTCAAATCCCAGCTCTGCCATTTCTTAACTGCGATCTTGGAGGAGTGACATCATTTGTCTGTGCCCCTGTTTCTTCATCAGTAATATAAAGATTCCATAAAAACTGAGCATCTTGTGTTTAAGTGGACTAGCTGTAAGGATGAAAGGAATTACTGCATGCACAGGTCACAGAACAGTGCTTGGAACATAGTTCAGTTATTATATAAGAGCACGGCCTCTGGGGTCAGACAGAACAAGGGTATGAAACCCAGCTCCTCCCCTTTTTAGCTGGATGACCTTGGGCTAGTTATTAACCTCTGCCTCAGTCTCCCCCATCTGCAAATTGGAGACATCAGTGCACATTTCGTATGGCTGTTGTGAAGATAAAATGAAATATTGCCTTTAAAGGACTCTGCACAGCGTCTGGTTCATAGCGAATGCCCGTTAAATGCTAGCGATTATTGCCGATGCTGTTGGGGTCATCACCTGTCAGTATGTTAAGTTAGGCCATAGTTGGTTCAGTAATCATTAGTTGATGCCTAAATTTGGTCAGGCACAGTCCTGGGCATGGAGGATCCAGTGATAAACAAGATACGGTCCCTTCCCTGAATCACCTTCCAGGTCCCCATTGCCTAACACTTGTGCCCTTTCCACCTTATCAAGCCTGAAATNAGGGGTTCACAGTCTAATTCACCTTCCAGGTCCCCATTGCCTAACACTTGTGCCCTTTCCACCTTATCAAGCCTGAAATGCCAACTCCAACCAACTGGTAGTGGTGATCTAAAGAATGTGTTGAGAAGGATTCTGAGGCCACATCCCAGAAAGAGTGCCAGGGTGGAATAGCGATATCTGCCACTGACACAGCTTTTTTTAGTGTAACTTCATTATCATTTTATCACTAGACAAAAGTAACAATAATTCCTTGATATCATCAAATAGCCAATGTTTGGGGGGGTTTTGTGTTTTTAAAAAATATATTTTTATTGATTTCAGAGAGAAAGGAAGGGAGAGGGAGAGAGAGAGAAACATCAATGATGAGTCATTGATCGGCTGCCTCCTGCACACCCCCTGCTGGGGATGGAGCCTGAAACCCGGGCATGTGCCCTGACTGGGAATCGAACCGGGATCTCCTGGATCCTAGGTTGTTGCTCAGTTGCTGAGCAACGCTGGCCAGGCTCCAATGATTTTAAGTGTTTTTTTTGTTTTTGTTTTTAATTGTGTGTTGTTTTGTTCGTTTGAATTGGGATTCAAATAAGGCCCATTCAATGTGGTTGGCTGATAGGCCCCCTTAAGTACCCTTTAATCTCTAAGTTCCCACACACATCTATACTCAGATGCCACCTCTCTTTCTTCTTTACTTTTGATTAGAAACTTGCTCGCTTGTCTAGCACAGTTTCCCATTACCCGTATTTTCCTGATTGCATACCTGTCGCATCAATAACGTGCTTCTCTGCACCCTCAATTGCCTGTTAAGAAACGGTAAAGATCTAGAAGTTTAATCAGATTTAAGTTCAAAAGAAAATCCACCAGGAGCTTAATAATGTATGAGTTTTTCTTTTCTTGTGATGCTCGCTGACACTGACGATCTCTGCCTAATTTATTAATTTATTAGAGGTCGCAGAATGGTGGTGTGCTAACCTATCATTCATTTTTCATGGATTAGCTGGAACACGTCTACAGAGAACTATCCCCTCACCAAGTATTTGGGCAACTCGGGGTTCGATTAGTATAGAAAAAGCAGAATAAAAACTTAATCCTTTCCCTTTATTTACTAGTTTAAAAATATCCAGATGGTGTACTAACATCCTTACCGGGTACTGCTGAGTGCTTTTTTAATCTTTCTGATAAATGTAGATGAAATATATTTGATGTGCTTCAATTAATTGTTAGTATTCTTTCTATAAAGTATGTTTTTATTGATTTCTTTAGAGAGAGAAGAAGGGAGAGGGAGAGAGAGAGAAACATCAATGAGAGAGAAACAGCAATCAGCACGCCCCCTACTGGGGATCAAGCCCGAAACCGGGGCATGTGCCCTGACCGGGCATCGAACCAGTGACCTCCTGGTCCATGGGTCGACGCTCAACCAACTGAGCCACACAGGCAGGGCGGCATTCTTATTAACGCTAAAACCGTCCCACGTTAAGCCAGGACAGCCTGTTCAACTGATTCCTGAGGCCTTTGACTCAACCACGGAAGCCTCTGATGACTTTCTTACGTTCTGATATGTCAAGATGTTCCAAGCTCAACTTACAAATTTCCTGCCCAGACCTGGAATGCGGCCATTTCTCCAAACAACACTGGTTCCCTTTAGTGGGTGCCGGGGTTGCTCATCTCTCCTGGGTTAATGTTTCTAGGTCTTTTTAGAGTAGAGACTCTAGGAAATTTTATTTGAAGACAAAAGCATCCCTCCTCCACCAGTCAGGGCTCACCTTGCTCTGTGTGTGTGTGTGTGTGCGTGTGTGTGTGTTGTATGTATGCATCGCTTCTAGCGCCTTCCTGCTTTTAACGATACGATACGCTGCAACTTCTGAATGTGGCTACTCTGTCTCATCTGTCACTCCTTTTCTACCAGGAGGAATACAGAATTCTCTC